GACCCGGACCCATCAGGCTGACGGTGCACACACAGGCATGAGGAGAGCAGCACAGTGTGGACAGTTTGGATGTTCCAGGTTTGGATTTGTTGTGAGCAAAATAAAAACTTGTTTCATTTGTGTCTGTAGAGATAAAGATGTTTGTTCTGCTGCCTCCACCGTGTTCTGGTACCAGTAGAACCACTTCAGCTCCAGCTCATCAGTCTATCACCTGAACTACCTGAAGACTCGCTGACGCTTTCATGTCCAGGTTTTGTTGGAACCCGATCACAGTTATTGATTACACCTGAGCTGCTCTTCCTGCTTCGACCCGCCACAACGTCTGCACACGCCCGCTCGGTCCTGAGTGGGAGCAGGGGCCACGTTCTGATCCAACAAGCTCAAAGTGTGAAACCCGAGTGTGCAGATGTTTTCATCCTCCACCAGTAAAACAGCAGAAGAGCTGCAGAGCGTCGTCCTCGTGACGAGGCCGGGATGCATCCCCGTGACTCCCCTCAGACATCTTTGAGCCTTTTTACTGTCAGAACTGGAGGAAACGTGGCGCTGCTTGAATCCTGAAGATGATTTCAGATTAAGTTCTGACTGATTTAACATGAACAGAACTCTAATGATCAACATCCCTGAAGTGAAAAAGTTGACTCCAAAACATTTAAACGTTTGGAGTCTGGATGCATTTTAACACATCAGCAAGAATTTAAACCTCATTTTCCTGAATTTAGACACAAATGGTGACGTTTTGATCCTCATACAGAAACTGAAGTGTCTGACAGATCCATCAGACGTTCATTTAGTGCTGCAGACCTCCACAGAACCACGGTTAGAGGCTAAACATGAAACACGACTGACTTGGTCTGTATCCATGAACACTGGACGCCACAGACAACAGAAGACAGCGTAGAGACGCTTCTGTTCATCAGCCTATAAAACTGTTTCACATGGAAACACGGTGCAGACGCCTGCGTCCACACAGCAGGTGGCGCTGCACAAAGAACTTAAAGAAAAACGTGAGGATCGATCCCTGAACTCAGCTGATCATCTAACAGAAGAGATGCAGTCACGCTGCAGAGACTCCTGCTCACAGGAAAAGCAAGCAGCAGCAGCAGCAGCAGCAGCAGCCATTTTGCTGGATGCAGAGTGACTAATGCCTGTGGTGATGTTGAGACTCTGCAGAGGAAACGCTGAGGTCAGATCCATCAGCATCTCTGCAGAAACATCCAGAGAGCCTCGCAGCCACACAGAGCTGCATTTCTGCTCATTTCATGAGCCTCAACAGACTTTAGTGACACGAGGACGAGTCGGACGAAGAGCGTGAAAACACTGGATTCAGCTGAACGCTGCAGGAACGTTTACAGGCTCGTTTTTCTCCGTTTTTACAGTTTCCAGAGAATCACACGTGGCTTCCTGCACAAGGTTTTGGTCCCAGGTATGGAGAGGCGGCAGTGATTTTGCTGATCAGTTTTCAGTGTTTTTGTGCTGAAGTGGAGGTCACCGAGGTCACGCTGCATTAAAGCGTCGAATCAGACGAGCTAACAACAAGACACAAGAGAACATTTCCAGCATTTCTTTACATTTTTATAAATGAGTCATCTTGCGGTGCGACAGCGCTGGAAGAACACTTCCTTTGTCCCAGAAACTACACGTAGGAGCTCAGCTTCCGTCATTCTGCAAAAACGGAAAATAACGAGTCCTGATTTATCATCTCTGCTCTGCATTTAAAGGAAAAGTAGTATTTTTGTCTTCTAACTGTGGTTTTCTGAAGCTACGTCGATAACTCCATTAGACATCAATCATTTGGACTTTCATATCAGTAGACTACTGAGCAGCTAGCTTCCATCGCTAAGCCAAGAGCAAATATAAATGAACACTTTGAGCTCATTTCTATGCTGCTAGCTGCAGCAAATACCCCCAGACGGTTTCTTTGAGTCTGGATATGAGTAGAACCACAAGGAGCTCATTGAAGGACCACTTGTGCGGTTTACTTTCACTTTGTTTACGAGGAACGCTTCAGAGTTTGCACAGCTTGAAACCAGAACAGTTGGTTTTGCTAAAACGGCATTATTATTATTATAATGTTGTAGAGAACGCTGGACGTAGCAGCAGAAACACGACAGGAGAAGACTCGTAAAGCAAACACTCCATGTTTGACCTGCAGCCGTGTGTCATCACCACCATCACCGTTTCTTAAACTGATGGACGTGGAATCGATGGTGTGGCCGAACACGTTCTCCTGTCTTCAGTTCCTAATGTGCATCTTTATGGCAGGAGCTGAGCTGCACATGAGCAGCTGTTGGTCGACTGTTGTAACGGAGGCACTTTAGTCACTTCTCTCGTCAGACGGGGTTCAAGGCACTAGAAACTAACTTTAGATTTATCGATGACGTTTGTTCAATTCTACCGCTTTCCTTCTTGAAACGGGATAAAAGTCAAATAAAACATCGGGTCACAACTCACATGAATGATCTCATGCACTCCGCCGTCAAGACCAAAGCTTCAAATAAACAAAGGAGGATGTTTTTCTGAAAAGTCTTTTTTTAAAGAGATCATCAATTCGTCTCTTCAGATTTTTTTTCCTTGATTTTGTTTTTTGTATTTTATTCTAGCAGATTTGTCCCCTTCGGCTCCGTCATGCATCCCGTCGACAGTAATGAGAATCATCATCATCACCTTCATCTCCAGAGTCCCTCCACACTGCAGGCAATTTAAAACTGACACTGTCATGCATTGAGTATACGTAGCTATACCATGTAGCTAATTAGGCCATAATGCTTTAGTATTTTGACATGCCATGATCTTCGAAAAAGAAGTGTTCCTGTTCCCTTAAACATTCAACACGTAAATGCTCTGAACAACTGAAACAGAAGAAGAAGAAGTAGCCAGTGCACTTTGGTGAAAACAAATGAGAGAAAATCCAGGACGAGAAGATGAAGGACAACGAAGAAAAAATGTAAAAATAAAATGAGGTAACGTCTTGTGCATGCCGATATAAGAGAGAAGAGAGTCTCCACATGCGTTTCTATAAAGGAGTGTTGCATGGCATCATACAGGGAGCCTGCAGCAGCAGCAGTGCATGTCGTCCTGCACAGCGGCAGCCTCCTGGTCCTTTAAGGTGCCTGAAAAACTTGGATCAACGTCTCGCGTTTTCCAAACTTTGCCTGATGTGCTGCAGAAGAACACACCTGAACTCCACCTGTAATCCACTCAGAATGTGTTTCTTCAGCGAGAAAGTTCTTCAAATCTCAGTTGGGCTTCGTTTGTTCTTTTATCCTGAAAGTTGAGTCTGTTGCACAAAGTCTGGCAGGTTTGATAAATTATCGGCAAATTAGCAAATTGTGCCCACAAATTAAAAACGTAGCTCCAGTTATGCTGCTGATCCCTCAGGTCAAGTCTGAAAGTGCTGTTTTCATTCCTCCAGTCATCTCTTAACTTGTGTGCATTTGACTCTTTTTAAAGTGGAACGCTGATGGAACACTGCCCACCGTTACATGAACCACCAACTACTCTGCTCGTCGATTCGTCGGTTTGAGTAAATTTAAAATAAAAACTGAACATCTTTGGACAAAACAAGACATTTGAGGAAACTCTGATCCACATTTTTCTCCATCCAAAGACATTTCTGATGGATTCTCTGAGATCTTTGACAGACTCAGTGAACGATCAGTACTTCCTGTTTGTGACCCTTAAGCTGGTTTCAGCGCCTCTTTGTCACGTGTAAAGTGCAACGAATCTTCTTGTTGAAAAGTGCTGCTAAAATAAACCTGCATTGCATTAAACTTGCATCATGAACTGGATCCTCTAACATGTTCTACAGAGATGACCAAGTGTTGTGTCTGAACTGCTCGTGTTCGAAGGGTTTCAGTGCAAAGCGGCAGTACTATTGCTGTTAAAGGGGAACTCGTCAGTTCCAACAGGTCGGTGACTCGAGACAAATGTTTTTTTCTAACTCAGTATTTCGGCTGAAAAAATGGCAGTTTAAATCCCAAACAGACTGACTGCACCCCGAGGCAGTGAAACCAACTCTGAACGAGTGAATCCTTAAATTTTGAGATAATTCGAGGGTACAAGTCACTAACTGTAGTAATTCATCAAAGCTCCTGCTCGTCTTTGTGCTATTGCCAAACAAACCTGCGCTTCCTTCATGTCTTCACATGTCTGAGCTGATGCAGAGAAGAGAGTAAATGCACCATGGGAGTAAAGCATCCAGGTATTTCTACATATTTACAGGAGCGTCTCACGCCGCCTCACACGTCGGTGAGCAGCTTCGCCTTGTTCACGCAGTTCTGGCTCGGCGCCGTGCAGTTGGCAGTTCTGAGGTTCGCTTCCCTAAAGTTGTCGATGCTGTTGTTCATGTCCTCGTCGATCTCCATGTACTCCGACTTGCTGACCACCGACGAGCTGCGCCGGCTCGAGTTGGTGTCCGACGCCAGGTTCTGGTTGCTGACGTTGAGCAGCTGGGCCTGTTCCTCGCCCTCCGTCTCTCGGTGGTAGAAGTAGTTGAAGTTGGACACGATGACCGGAACCGGCAACGCGATGGTCAACACGCCGGCGATGGCGCACAGCGAGCCCACGATCTTTCCGCCGATGGTGACGGGGTACATGTCGCCATAACCCACTGTCGTCATGGAAACCACGGCCCACCAGAACGCGTCCGGGATGCTGGTGAAGAACGACTCCTTCTCCTCGGCCTCGGCGAAGTAGACGGCGCTGGAAAACAAAATCACGCCGATGAAGAGGAAGAAGATGAGCAGGCCCAGCTCCCGCATGCTCGCCTTCAGAGTTTGGCCCAGAATCTGGAGCCCTTTGGAGTGCCGGGACAGTTTAAAGATCCGGAAGACCCGGACCAGTCGGATCACCCTGAGAATGGCCAAAGACGTGGCCTGCTCGCCGCCGCCACCCTTCCCCTCCCCGTTTTCCTGGTCATCAGCCAGCTCGGTGCCCAGCGTGATGAAGTATGGGATTATAGCCACAATGTCAATGGAGTTCATCATGTTCTTAAAGAACGCCGCTTTGCTGGGACACGCAAAGAAACGAACTATGAGCTCAAAGGAGAACCAGATGATGCAGAGCGTCTCCACCACGAAGAAAGGGTCTGTGAGGACGTTGGGTTTGTAGTGTATGGTGGTGTTTCCCACCGTCTGGATCCGGTCGCTGGGATCCTCCTTCAGCTCCGGTAAAGTCTCCAAACAAAATATGACAATAGAAATCAGAATAACCATCACTGAGACGATGGCGATCCCCCGGGCCGGACCAGAACTCTCCGGATGCTCGAACAGGAGCCAGATCTGCCGCTGGAACTCCTTCTCCGGCAGCGGTCGCTCCTCCTCCCGGATAAACCCCTCGTCCTCACGAAACTTCTCCATGGCCTCGGCGCCCAGCTCGTAGAACTTTATCTCCTCCGAGAACATGTCCAACGGAACGTTGACCGGCCTCCGCAGCCGACCCCCCGACTGGTAATAGTACAAGATGGCGTCAAAACTGGGACGGTTCCGGTCGAAGAAGTACTCATTTCGTAAAGGGTCGAAGTAGCGCATCCTCTTCTTGGGGTTCCCGAGCAGCGTCTCGGGGAACTGAGCCAGCGTCTTCAGCTGCGTCTCAAAGCGCAGCCCCGAGATGTTGATGACGACGCGCTCGCAGCAGTCGTGGTCGTCGTGGTCGTCGTCGGGCGGATACGGGTCCTGCGGGTGACCCGGCAGGGTGGAAGTCTCGTCCATGTTCTCCGTGGACACCACGGTCATCCTGCCTGCTGGGTGGAGGGTGGAGGAGGTGCAGCTGGAGAGGAGAAGCTCCTAAGAGCTGAGCAGAGCCTCCTGCTCCTTCAGCATCATCTTCATCACCTTCAGCTTCATCACCTGCAGAGAATCAAACACATCCTCAGTGAGAGCGGCTCGGAGCCTCTGCAGAGACTCAGAGCTGCAGCAGCACAAAAACATGCAGCGGCTCTGCTGCATCTGCTCCTTTTTACCGCATACATCAAGTCTGCGCCGCCGCTCTGCGCACAGCAGCAGCTTCCCTCCGTTTCAGCACATAAAGATTCTACACACTGACACGAACCGACACCAGAACCTAAATCAGCCTGTCTGTGAGGAAATGAGCTTAATCGTACCTGAGCGGAGTTCGGAGCTGAAAACGAGCGTCCTGTCGGTGCGCAGCTCTCCGGCCGCCCACCGCCTCCTGCCTTTAATACTGATATCGCTTTACAGGATCTCTGAAATATTAATAGACTATGTTGTCTTGGTCAACATCCGTATCCTCTCGGTGTAGGTTTTCAGCGCCGATCGCAGCAGCCCGCAGCGGGAGGAGGAGGAGCAGGAGGCGGCTTCACACGGATCTGCGCGGCGGCGCGGCGGCGAAAACCGGCAGTTTGTCCAAATCATTGTGGAACCGAAGCAGGACGGAGCTGAAGGAGCCGCAGCCGCAGCGCCGAGCCGCTCTCTGTGCGCCTTGTGCCGCTGCGCAAAACCGAGAAGCCGCCGCGAAGGAGAAGCTGCAGAACTGAAGAGATCCAGGACGCAGGACGGAGGGAGGAGGGAGGGGCGA